GTCAAAATGTAATCATCAAATCTTTTTTTGAGGAACAATGTAATAATCAAATCTTGGAAATGAAAAAACAAGTATTATGTCACACCGAATTATTGGATCCGCCAATTTTGTACTTGCTGATGTATTATGTCAAAAGAAAATTAGAATTGATATGATTCTGGTCTATTTCTTCATTTGGGACTATTTCTCTAATAAGCATTTTTGTTTATAAGCGGTTGTTATAAAGATATTGAAATTTTCTTAAGAAATCAAATAGCTTCCTAGAAAAGCACTTGGGAGTACTTCTTGGAGAAGCATCTGAAGAAGCACATGTGTTTATCCAGAAAGCGTTTCTATAACCCATAAGTACTTCTAAACTTTCAACCAAATGTTATTGGAAGTGATTTTGGTTATCCAAAAGCGATTTTTTTTATAAAAAAAAAACAAAATTGTTGCTTTCTAATTATGAAAGTGGTGAAATCATTTTCTAATAGCTAGGACGGCAGAGTGATAAAAAAGAAATAAAATTAATTTGCATGATATGATGGCATCATCCCATGTCTTTATCGCCAATTACATTATTGACACAAAAATTTGCACAATGAAGGATCTCAACGCAGCGTGTTATTTCATTTCAGGCAACACCATGTCCATGAGTAGTTTTGTTGTCGTGAGAGTCACACCGTTACACGGTATTATCAATTTACTCATATTATGATATGTAGGATTATAAATTAGTACTATATTGTATATCCATGTCATATAAATCCTTTTGTCCATTTATTTTATAACATGTGAATTAGTCATGTGACAATGTATCGATACTCCACCACATATACTAATTACCAAGCACATACATCAGCATTTTTATATTACAAATATACAAAATATACATGATGTACCATAACTTGAACTTACTTTTATATCTTAGAGTCCATCTTTTCTAAATTCAATGAATGATATTTTGGCTTATGTCATTGTTATGAACATTATAACCCCCTTAGACTTTTTGCTTTGTTTTTATTTCAGATTTTGCTAGTATAGTTTTGTGGCACAGGTATACATACGTACTTACGTACGGTTTGTACAGTACAGTAATTAAATTGTGGCTACCATATACTGCATGCTAAGATTACATACTGGTGTACTGGTGTTCATTTGAAAATTCTTCTCCTTGTAGTTATAGATACTGCTGAAGAAGCCTGAAGTTTACTTCACAAAGATATCCAAAAGTCTTCAAATAATTAATTGACTATTTCTATATATTATTCTTTAATGGAAAAACAATTGAGAACCGTATATACTTGTGTGTACTAAATACGAAGCTAATCTCATGCCATTACTACAAGAAAAAAAAAAACATTTCAGTATATATATTTGCACAGTATATATATGCATGGGATCTTGCCACACAAGACTATTGGAGTAGAAGGAAATAAGAAATACTAAAAAGATTATAATTATCATTTCATCCGGTGGCGTTTAGTCTCCACACTTTTGGAGGAGGTCTTAGATTTAAATATTCCATGCTTCATATTTAGAATAGAGTTGACTTTGTGTGGGGAAACATAAAGCGAGTTTGGGAATCTAAAATTACAGAGTGCTTTGGAGTAATTTAAGCTTTTGTAATTCTCTGGTGAACCTCATTGTCCTTGATGGTGGACATAGACCAAGAGCCTAATCACGCAATTCTTTGTGTCCCATTGGTTGTCTTGTTCTATATTTCTCATCATTCTCTAATGTTTATAGGACTTGCCCTAATGGTAATGAACCCAAATCACATTATTAGATTATGTTATATATATATATATATATATATCAATACAAGAGAGAGTTTAAACTAGAGGAGAAAAGAGAGGAGGGGGGGGGG